TTCTTATTTGAAAGCTATTCTAAAAAAAAAAAATATCAACTAAAGATATTTTGTGTTCACAAGGTTTGGTTTCTCAGAAGAGGAACTCAATTTCATTCAGCATCTCATTTCACCAGGCGTTTTATTTTGAAAGTCGTTGAACTGAAGAGACAACCCGTGCCATTGGTGGGGAACGTTTCATAATAACTTGTTATGAGAAGAAAATGTTGCGCCGAGGAACACATTACTTTTTCTATAGTCTGTCAACTGAAGGTAATCAGAAGTGTCAAAAATCAGTGTCGGCAAGTCACACTCCAACGTAATGGGAATCGGGATTCGCCCAAAATATTGCGTTTTGGCCAATTGCGATTCTCATACGTTGACTTTTGACGTAAGAGTAGAATAATATTTGTGCTTCCAAAACATTGAAAAATGACATTTCTAACTACACTACCACACAGCAGCTGTGATGGTTGTGACATCGTCAGTGCCTGGACTCAGGTTTTGCTCATTGGAACTGATGTACGTGACGGTGAAAGTCACTGTTGTGCATGTTTTCAGAAGGACTTCTCGAATGTCAGGGACGTTTTTTTTTTTTTGTTTTTTTTTTGGTTTACATATGAACAGCCATCATCTGTAGTTTACCATGAATTATTCATGCGTTCTAACCTCAAGCCCGAGCCTCAGTTCAGCTCCTGATAATGGTGCAGCGGAGATAATTTAATCTGCTTAATTAAAGTGTTAAATCAGAGGCTGGAGCCCGAGCGTGATGGCTGTTAACTTTACCTCCCCCCCCTCCCCTCTCTCTCTCTCTCTCTCCACACTTTGATGTGTAAACTTTTGTTTGTTCTCTCAGCAGAGTCCTGTACAAACCATTTACACATAACAATAAAAAAAACACAACAGTATTTTTTTTTTTGGCCTACAGGTGAAGGAAGATATTTTAGGTGAGAAACGCTGACTTTAAATAAAACTGGCTTTGTTTACAGAAAAAAACCTCCCGCAGCATGTTTGAATATTTTCACTCCTATTATCAACTCTCTCTGCTGGAACAGGATTTAAAAAAAAAAAAAAAAACACACACACACATCCAAATAAACAAACGTTTCTGCAGAAGGTTGTTTTTTGGGATGAGGTTCGCGGAGATTATATTTCATTTCTTTTCTCCACGTGTGTGAAATGTCATTAACTGACATTAACCTTTTTGTTTCTTAAACAATCAATGGGGTTTTATTAAAGGGCTCCGTCTTGGCTCACAGTAAAGGTTAATGCACCAGTTCCATTAGTGCGAAGATGGAGCTCTTCCTGTTTATTATCCACTTATATATATATATATAGGGAGATGTCACTCTAATTCTAGGACTACTTCCTATTTTAAATCCCAACATACCGTATAGAAATACTATGTCAGAATTACTCATACAGAAGACAGCGGTCATTGGGTTTATGACGTCCTAGACCAGGCGTGGACAAACTTTTTGACTCGCGGGCCACAATTGTCCGGGTCAGGAGCAGATAGATGTGAACTAAGATAAATGACATGTAAGAGTCATAAAAGCTAAAATGCTAAAATGCCTACGCCATCTGTTTGGGGAAATGTGTATTGCAGGGAAAAGGCAGAAGTACTGTATAATGATAATATAAATAAATTATACAATTTAAAAAAGTTTGGAGGACCGGATTAAAAAGATGAATGGCCCACATCCGGCCCCCGGGCCTTAGTTTGCCCATGCCTGTGCTAGACCCAGGGCATTTCATGATTAAATCGACATCTCAGAGCAGACAAATATGTTGTCACACGGTGATATACGTAGGAAAACACTTTCCTTTATATTTGTCAGTTATTATATGGCTATAGTTAGCCATAAATTGGATCGTGCTACATTTACTTTCTTTGGTTTGGGAACTTTTTAGCCCTTCATTATGTCTCATCCCAGGTGTACGTCAGACTCTTCTGGTGTTTTTATGTCCTAGATCACACATGGGCAAACTAAGGCCCGCGGGTCGGGTGCGGCCCGTTCAGTATTTTTTATCCGGCCCGCCAAACTTTTTATATAACAAATTATATAATTTTTTTTTCTATATTATCATTATATTTCTGCCTTTTCCCTGCAATACTGACATTTCCCTATAGATGGCATTTTAGTATTTTAGCCTTTATGCATGACTTTTACGTCATTTATCTTAGTTCACACTAACTCTCCATCTATCTGCTCCTGACCCGACCCCGCCTGTTCAATTTTAGGACAATTTTGTGGCCCGCGAGTTAAAACGTTAGCCCACGCCTGTCCTAGATTACGGTGTTACCACCATGTTAGCAGCAGGCGGGACTTTAACAGCCTGTAACAGCCTTTCCCCGTGTAAAACCGATACAGTAAGGGGAGTCATTTGACAGAGTAATGAACTGTGTTCTACGTTCTAAGAGCTCTGGACAAACATGCACTGCTGCTCCTGTTCAAGGATCCTCTGCTTTGACCTATGAAGCAATTAATTAGTCACTAATTCCTTAATCCTCTCAGCAGAAAATAGAACCTTGTTCCATGTTGACACATTCCCAGGCAACACAGAGCAAAAAATCAGACTGCTGCTCATTTCTTCACCCACCCACAAACACTCTGGGTGAGAGAGGGAGAGAGAGAGAGAGAGTAAGAGAGAGAGAGCGACAGGTCTCTATTTATGCGTGGAAGCCGAAGGTGCGATGTGATGCTGTCTGTGATTGGCAGGCAGCGTTGGCAGGGCAACAGACGGTCAGACCAACAAATCTCCCAGCAGCCATCTGACCTCCAGACCTGCCGGAGTCTGGGGGCGAGGCCCGGCTAATCAGAAACAACTTAGACTGGACGGCCTGGGTTTTCCCTCCAGTGCTGACTCACGAGCACATTGCAACAAACGTCAGGCTGAAACAGCTCTTACGACTCGCATTCACAATGTCTTCTTACATGGAATTTTATCAATGATTTTTTTTTTAGAATAGTCCATTCTAGGCTTTCTGGGGTCAAACTAGAGCTGCGAGATAAAACCATGAATTTATAACATGTCAATATATATTTTTAAAAGGTGATATGTATATATTGCGATGTAATGCTACGCATAACGATGTAGGATGTTTAGTGTGAAAAACATGGAACGGATTTTTGGTATTTTTGGTTTTCGAATCTCTCATTGTTCAAAATGTGTCAAATAACTACGGTAGCGCAGAGCAGAACAAAATTTAAATTTTCCCTGGAACGAGAGCCAATCACCGCTTGCTGCGACATGACTTTAGTTAGCGGTTAGCACAGATGTATCAAACATCAACATCAACATCTTATATTACTAAGGACCTCATTATTGCAATTACTTTTAGGATGGAAGGTACAGAAAAATTCAATGGAAGTTAATTTCGACACGTGAGCCTTTAAATAAATATTATTTATTTATACTCCAACACCGTTATATATAAATATAACGGTGTATTTACTCACCTGTCTGTGAAGGTGTGAGCTAAAGGTGTAAGTGTGAGCTAAAGGTGTAAGTATGAAGACAGAGTGTGAAGGGGGGAGAGCGAGAGAGAGAGCGAGAGAGAGAGAGCACCAGTGTCAGTGGCTGATAAGACAACAGTTGTTTTCTTTTATATTTGTTAAACTAAAGCTGCCTGAAGCAGCAGTTAGTGGAGTTGCATTATAAATTATGTAGTCATA